CACTCTTTTTTTAGGGTAATTATGACAAAAACTGTTACGTTTTTATATTAATCAAATAATAATTGTAGACATTTTTAGCTATTTTATTATATAATAGTTAATACTAAAACTAACTAAGTATATTTTACACTGAAAATTACAAAAATTATAAAAAATTATGTAGTAATTTTATTTAATTTTAAAATTAATATTATAGTTTTATTATCTCATTAAGTGGTTTTGTGTAAACTAATTGGTGTGAATGGTATAGTCAAACCCTTTAAAATAGTAATATTTTTTTTTTTCAACTGATTAATGAGTCACGATCCCTCAAAATTTACATTATTAATTACATTTTATCCAATCAATATATTGTTTCACGTGCAATTAAATAGTTTTGAACTGTTTATTTTTACTAATGTTCAAAATTTTAAAATATATAATCATTATACAATTTTAATTTTAATATTATAGTGTGGATTCATTCATAATTTTAAATTTATTTATATTTTGATAAAAAAAAAATATTTTCACCTTTTATTTAAAATATGAAAATATCCATAATCTTCATCTTTTTATCTCCTGCAACTTGGCTGCGAGCAATCAAACATGGATACATGCCTTTCCTCAAACCACTCACCAGAGGCAGTGGAGAAGCCGAAAATTAATGCTGAAAAAACAGCCACACAGTTTCTCATATTTCCACTTTCCTCCCCTCCTTTCTTTTTTATTCACAGCTCCCCCTTTTCCAGACAGCCATTGAAACCCAACTCGAGGTTCTTGATGGAGACTTCGAAGGTTGTCCGTGAAGTTCAGCAATTCGTAGCTTTTAATGTTGACAACTGTTTCAAGATGGTCGACAATTTGAGGTCCCAAAATGGGGTTCTTGATAAAGTTTTGTCCTTTTGTGCTTGTGTTCAAAATGGCCGCCAGGTATGAAAAAGCTTCAATTGATGATTACTTTCGTTGTGTTAAAGACAGTGATGATAGCTGCAACGAGTTACTACCATTTTTTATGAGATTTATGATAGGAATATAGCATTAGTTGTTCAAAAGATTTGTGCTTTTTTTAGGTGTATAATATAATGTTTGCCTTCCGATTTCAGATTGTTAGAATATCACTCGTGTGTTGTCCCACCTCGTTTATATCGAGAGAATAGGCTAATTTATAAGTCTAATGAGTTACCCCTCTTTCCACCCATTGGTTTTGGGAGAGAACCTCACTTGGTTTTCATGTGGGCTTTCTTGTCTTGGTGCGCTTCATATGCGTGTGTGGGACCGTATCCGTTTTTTCCCCGTTTCTTACACAGATAAGATGATATGTGGTAATTGGTATAATAGAAGATTACATTGAGGTTCAGATTATAACAAAACAGATCCGTCAAGTTTAGAAGAAATGGTGTTTTTGCAGGTTATATTTGCAACTATTTGCACATTTACTGTTCTATTGTTTATGTTGTTCTTGATTATGTTTGTGTTATGTTCAACTTTGCGAGTGGTAGTCGATGCGTAAATGGTGAACACATGGAGGAGCTTATACAGAATTATAATGGTTTGTTTTCTGCTTTTTATATTCTGTGTTATGTTCACCTACCCAATTTAACTGCATAGATGAAATGCGATTTTTGGGTATTGATTTTGAGTTTCTGATTTCTCACTGCCGCATATTTGCTGTGGTTATATATACTGATCAATGTGCTTGCCCTTGACCATTCCTATTTCCAGCTTCCAAGAATGAAAAGGTGGAATATGGCTGTGCCCTCCAATTCAAATTTTGCCGCCATTTTACCTGGAGATTCTTTGGCTGGAGTGGCCGTGACGAACGGGATTTCGAATTTCTTAAACATCTACAACACTGTGTTAGTCTTGCGGCTCGTCTTGACTTGGTTCCCTAATGCCCCTCCAGCAATCGTCAACCCACTTAGGTACAAAACACACCCACTTAGCTCGTTTTTTTCGTTACATTGTGTGAACGAATGAAGATAAAAGATGAAAGAGATAAATGCCATTCGTAGTTGAATTAATATAGTCATGTTTCTTCTATTGTTGTTGTGGTATTATTATTGTTTTTCCTCTCTCTCTCTCTCGCTAAAGTGAGACTAACTTTTGTTTTAAACTGAAGATTGTACTCTGATATGCATTTTATCTACTTTTCAGCACTATATGCGATCCATACTTGAACCTATTCCGAGGAATTATCCCACCACAAGGAGGACTGGATTTTTCGCCGATATTAGCATTTCTTGTTTTAGATGCATTTACGAGCTCGGCTGCTGCACTGCCAGCTGAACTTCCACCAGCCGAAGGGTCAATAGGTATTGAAAATCCTAAAATGTCATTTCGCATTACCTCATCACACAAGAAGTGGATGATGAGAAGGTTTTCAGGAAGCAAGTCGACGAGTTCTAATTGTGAAGTTTAAGTTCTTTTCGACATTTTTTGTTCTTTTTTTTTTTCAATTCCAAAAACTATCTGTATTTTTTTATTTCAAGATACGAATGGATGATTCCCTTTTCTTTTATATTATGTAGTCTAGTAAGAATTCTACCACGATTTTTCGACATCCTCTGTAGAATTTATTTATGTATTTATGTTTCACCATGCTATAGAAATTAGAAACACTAATGCTTGGTAGAATCAAATTCAGATTCCCTTACATCCTGCACCACCAATACTTCTTCAGATAAATCGACCATACATTCTTCTAATAATATCTATATATTCTTATCTTACAAATCTCTACATTCCAACTGCTTATTTTTGAAGCCTTTCATACAAAGATTATTTCAAACTTCAAAGTGGTATTTCAAAAGGTCCTTTGAATGGAGCAAGAAGGAGCAATAATACGGATTAGCAACAGATTATCGTCCCACGACAAGAAAATATTGGCAATGGCTTTAGCGATTGTTGCCATACTTTCGCCTCTTTACATTGATCGTCGATCGATGCCCGAGCCAGAGGACGATGACGAGTCTTCGTACTTATCTTGCTATTTTGTGCCGGTTTTGCAGCTGGTTCTTATAATAGGCATAGCAGTATCAGCTTACTTAGAGCATGGATTTACCAGGTTGGACCCTTACTGGATTCACAGGGTAGGTGGTTCTTCAACTGGGATAATTATTCTTTTAATTGTTCTTACTTTGGTTTTGAGGTGTAAAAGCTCTTGAGATCATGGATTTTGTTTCTGCTTTTTTTTTTAACCTAACAACATACCTAAATCTCTTGCATGATTTTTAAGATCATTAAGCATTTTAAGTCTTTGATTTTTCGTTGAGTCTTGAAAGTTCCCTAACATTATGTATTGTTCGTAGAAAGTTTCGTGTAGTTGAACTATGTACAAGTCACTATAACTATGTACAAGTCAAAACTCATCGTTGTACATTAGATGCATCTTCGTTCAACCGTGAGCATTTTACGTTCCTCGATTTTAATTTGTTTCCATTCACTTCCTTCTCATATTTCATGCCATTTTTATGAAATTCACATAACATGTTAATAACACAAGGTTTATTTGTGATTCTATAGCATAACCAAAGTTCGTACACTACTAATGCTAAAACTGGAGACAACGATGATCGATTTGAACAAAGAAAAAAACTTTATACTGTCAAAATAATGGTAAAATCATGAAATTCATCTCACTGTATGTATAAATTCCCAGGAACATTGACTAATATTTAGCCTTCCCATACATAAAGTATATTCAAAAATGATATCAATAACAAAGGTAGTTTTACTATATAAACCAAGATTCACACAACCAGATATTAACGACCGAACGCCTCTCAAAAACCAGCATCTGGCCTCAGATTTCACTGTGCATCCGGTAGAGGTGAATAGCGTAAAAGCACACCCTCAGATTCAAGCAAGTTAACATGATCAAGTATCGGGCTCAGTTTCGACCCAATAATCCTCACATTTGGATTCGAGTGTCCATTCAGAGATACATTTGTAATCTGCAAAATAAATACAGATATTAAATGAAGGTGATGTAAACGCACATGTTACATCCGTTCGAATCTAACGATATAGCCTCAGCATGGAATTTAGACATGGCGTAAAAAGCCCATAAAACCTAAATGCTTCCCTTATAAGGGAAGATTTATCAACTCAGCATTGAATTTAGACATGGCGTAAAAAGCCTATAAAACCTAAATGCTTCCCTTATAAAGAAAGGATCATAATCGAGCTTCAACCTGAACAAGAACTATGAAAAAAAATACCCATTTTTAAGTTGCCTGACCAGAAAACGTTCGCAGTTAATCTTTTTAAACTACAAATATGCTATTTGGGGCATTAAATGCGTGTTCGATTCTATGATTACTGGAAATAATATTGCCGATATCACTCATACCTGCCTACAACCAAAGACTTTGAGCTGCTTCAGATATGAACAACTATCTAAAATCAGTCCCAAAGCCTCATCACTAATTCCTCGACAAAATGATATATCCAAACTCAACAACTTTCTTGAACGTTTGGAGAGGGAAAAGGCAGTGTTTGGTCCAACCTGATAAAATATTACTTATTAGTTTTTTCACATGCATCGAATAATTATCACTAAACATAAAGTCACTTTCCGATGCAGACGACCAAAAAAGAAAACCTAAAAAGGGAGAGAGGGAAAATAAATGCAACTAAAAGTTCGTAAACGTACAATGATAAGATTGGTTAGTTCCAAAGAAAAGTACCTTTGAGATATTATTCAGTAGAAGTTCCTTCAGAGACTCTCCAGAGCTTTCTATGTAAGCAGCCATGGCTTCATCGCTAAGAAGAAGCAAAATAAGAAGAAAGCACATAAAATTACTTCATTGTAAAAGAATAAATGAAAAGAAGATCCATATACCTGCGAATTGGTTAGAATGCATATAGCAGAAAAAAAAAATGGAAGAAATGAAGAAAATGATGATCACAGAACAACTTGCTCGACTAAAATCAATAAAGTCAAGCAAAGGTGACTTCCTTTTCCTGGAGTAATATGAATCGCATAATTTTATCAAATGTCTCAACACTAAACAAATATGACTGAATCTAACCCCTGAAAGTTCCACATAATGCAGGATTTTTTATTTTCTTTAAGGAGAAAAAAGAAAAAGGAAACCTGAATTCATTGCGGCACATTTTCAGTATTTGGATGGATCTACAGCCGTTTGCCAGAGCCTCCAATCCGATATCTGTCAAGTTTGGAAGGTTCGAAATATTCAATGAGCACAAACCAGCACAGCTGCTCCCAATGATTTTCAGAGAGCAATCGCTCAATTTCCTGCAGACAAAACATGCAGCAGACAACACTAAGAACCTGAAAAACAAACTGTACAAGAAAACAAAAATAATCCAAAACCAACTTACGGGCAATCAGCCAAATCGAGCTCCTTAATACTTTTACTGCAGACGGCAATCACTTTAATGATAAATAAATCAGTTATGCCATGCAAACCCGCAACTGATAACACTTCCAAATACTCGAATTTTGTAAAAGCAGGAAAAATCAGAGCTGGATTTATTTTCTGGCAATCATCTATGTACAACTCCCTCAAATTCGACCCCAAAGAATCAGCAATGAATTTGATGGCTTCAGAGGTCAATAAAGAACAGTGGCCCAAATTAATGGACCGCAATAAAGGTGCTGAAGTTACAAGAGTTTTAATGCCACAGTCTGATAGACGACAAGCACCTCTGAGGGACACGACAGCTAAACTGGAAAAACTATTCAAGGAATGAGATATTATATCCTCAAAAGCAAAATCAAGCATGCATTGCCCACAGAGGTCGAGTTGAAGAACCTGCATGTAGATTAAATCATTAATAATTTGCTTCACCAAAAAAGGCAAATAGAAGTCAGCAGCAAGAGACGCAAGTCATAAGATGAATTAACTGATTCACAGAAGCCAGCAAGAGAAACAAAATGAAAAACCATATATAACAAACGTAACCACAGTTTTTGCACTCAGCGGAAGATTAGGCTAATGGTTAAATGCATAATCTCAGTGAGCTTCAGTTCCATGTTACTAAAATCCACGAAGGATAACAAACAGTCTATTCTATTAAATCTAGTGCAGAATAACTATGAATGCCTGCTTTCATGCAATAAATATAAAAAGACAACAGCAGTCTACCATGCTTCTGAATAGATAAGTACAGAAAGAAAAAGAGAAGAAAAAAATATGTTACCCTCAAATCTTTTGTCTGACAATTCTTAAATGCCTGGTGAAACTCTTTTTCAGTCAACCACGAAGAATTCTTTATGCGTATCTCAGTTGGACATCCTTCCAAAAGAAGCTTCAAAAAGTCGACGCCCATTTTGCTTGTATCACACAACCTGTCAGTAAGTCTCTCACGAAGGTTATCCGGCACCATCTTCAGTGAAATCATACCCTCGGCATTTTCAGCAAGAGCCTTCAGAGATAAATCAAGCAACGAGGGCACAAAAGGGGTAAGAGTGCTTTTGTCCTGATTTTCACTCGACGGTTTCCACTCAATCAACTTCTTAGCCGACTTTTTTGACGCCCTTTCTCTCACCATTGTAAGAGCATCAGAAAAAGGGCCAACCACATTTCCTAATTCTTTTACAGGACTTGCAGAGAGTAACTTTTGACCCTGACCTGCGAGGTTTGCGCGTGCAAACCGCCTAGCATTTTCATGTCGGGTCTCACGAGCTAAATTCTCTAATCTCACTGCCAGTTCATTTTGTCCATTATGTTCTCTTTCGGCCATTTCAGGCCTCACGGCCAATTCTGCCGGTGGCAACATCTCAATTTCAGCAACTTCTTCACCAATCAACTCATCACTGTCTCTAAGCAAATGCAAGAGGGTTGGACTATTAGCCTTATGTGACAACCATGTCTCAACAACATCAGCTTCACCATTTTCTTCCATGGTTAACTCCCTCAGACAACCCAAACTGCTACTTTCACCAACGGCATTATTCAGTGTACCATCAGTAGGTGCCTCTACCTCAATTTCTTTACCCTTTGAAGTATTGTAGCCACGAGTATAACCTGTAACCTCAACCTCATTATCACTATCATCTGAAGCAATATCAATGACATCTACTGTCTTGTCATTAATCACGGGCCCGCCATTCATTGGTGCGGGAAGGTTAAGATCGAAAAGAAAACCCTCTTGCTCTTCCTCATTGCCCGAAATCAAACGAATGTTTAAATCGAAGTCCCATGGATTCGACTGGCTCGGACCACTAAGACTTGGACTTTCAAGATCACCAGAGGCTAAATCTTCAAAAGGGCCTTCACTTTTTTCCACTTGCCCAGAATTCATCCCCCCATCATCGACACAAGTCTTTTGGTCCTCACCTCCATTAACAGCTAAATCTCCACAGTTCTCATCATTCCCATTCAAGAATCTAACTTTTTTTAACCTCGAGTTTTCACCCTCTTCACTAACAACAATCCCATTCACCCTCTTCATTTCAAAAAATTCCACGATTGACTAGCCAAAAATCAAGATTGGAATAAAACAACAAAACCCCACAAAAAAAAATTAGGGGTTTTCTGAAGGGGAGTAAAAAAAAAAAAAAAAAAAAGTTGGATTATGATAATTGACAAGAAAACATACCCCAAGAACAACTAACAAGAACAGAATAAAAGCAAAAAATCAAGAAGTTCAAACATGGGTTCGCTCAGAAATCAACAAGAACCAACAAAACCACCCACTTAAATCACACGGAAGATCAAAGCTCCAATCTTTTTTTCTCCCACAAACGCAAACAAATCAAGCAACCCCAAAGAACAGAAAAAACAAAAAGGCAACAGACGATTGTACAAATCAAGAAACAATGAAACAGGAGATCGGGTATAAGAAGAAGGATCACGAGAGAGAGCAATGGTGGTGGTGGTGACTTGGGCAAATCGAATTCGAATGGAATTAACGAAACTGTATCGCCATAATTTAAAAGGGGCTTGTGGGGGGCAATTAGGTAATGTGATTGCCCAAATGGCTGTGCTGATGGGAAAGATGTGAGAATCTGAATTCATTGAGGAGGACCTGCCTGTGTGCGAGAAAGATAAATTAAAAAAGAAAATGGAAAAAAGGAGAGACAGAGAGGAAAGTGAGATTACAGATTTGAAGTAGAAAGAGAGAAGTTTGATTGTTAAGGGAAGGTGCCCCTGTTTTCTTTACCTTTCTGGGTGAATCGTATTGCTTTGCATATGTTAATTGCACACAATATATATGCATGCAATTAGCGCTTTTTCTTTTTACCTTTCAATATAATCCTCCTTATATATAATTCTCGAATGCGCTGAGCTTACGTGGCTGCTTCTGGTGCTTCGGAATCCTACTTGGCGAAAAATTATGTTTAGTAATTAGGTTTGGACAAATAATATTGGTATATAAATAATTAATAATCTAGGTTCGGACATTCCATAAATATTAAATAGCTAATTTAGGTATTTTAATATCATTTGTACTAATATAACCCTTTAATTATTTGTAATTTACATAGTGAGTCACTAAGTGACTAATATATTTCGTAATTAGGTTTGGACATTATTCCCGAATGCGCTGAGCCTACATGGCTGCTTCTGGTGATTTGGAATCCTACTTGGCAAAGAATCATGCTTCGTAATTAGGTTTGGACAAATAATATTGATATATTAATAATTAATAATTTAGGTTCAGACATTCCATAAATATTAAATAGCTAACTTAGGTATTTTAACATCACTTGTACTAATATAACCCTTTAATGTAATTTTACATAGTGAGACATTAAGTGACTAATATATCCCTGACTTTTGATTTGTTTCCTTCGATTAGTTATTTAATTGTAAATGTATTTTAAAAGTTGATAATTTTTGTATTTGTTATCTGTTTTACATATATAATATATCAAATTAATCATCTTTTGATGATCTTCGATTTGACATCCATATTGTATATATGAAATAAATAAATTATATTTATCTTTATAATAATAAAAAATAATAATATTTATTAAAATTTATTAGAAAAATAACATTATTTCTCAGTTTATATATTTATGTTTAATGTAGTTATATGTTGTAAGTTAAAAAAAATTATTATAATTAACACAAGTAAGTCACACAAATAAAAGTGTCATACTAAATATTTAATATTATATATATTTTAATAAAAGGTATCTAAATTTTCAACTACTTTTTCTCATTAATTTTAGATTTTAAGGAAAAAATTAGCAAGCACCCGTGTAATACACGGGCGTTGTACTAGTTATAATAATAATAGAAAAAAAAAAACTATTGATGTTGATAATCACATTTTATACTTTAAAATCCTAAAAAAAAAAATGAGGAAAGTAATGTTATAGCTATAATAAAACTTGTGAAATTTTAAAATATAATTATAATAAATCTTGTAGTGTATAATATTCAATTACAATTTAATATTTTTTTCATCTGGAAAGTAAAAATATTACTAGAATCGATATATAAGAAAACTAAATGATGATAAAATAAATCAGTTTTGCTATGGAGCCATCACATGACTCGACTTATAAAACTATCCATAGCTATTCACAAATGATGTATTGACACGTGTCATGTGTCAATACATAAAGTTATGGATAACACCATAACGGAGCATCCGATGAGTCCATAGAATTTCTGTAAACCAAACTCGTATTAAAAAGAGTTGGTTTCAATTAATTCTTTTATTTACAATTAGTAACATTATTTGGTTTTGCTTCATGAAATAGCATTTTGTATATTCAAGTAAGAAGAAAAAATTAAAAAATAGAAGAGAAAGTATGTTATACTACTAATAATTACTAATTAATTTTTTCTCAGAGTTTTCCACATGAAAAAAAAACAATTAAACACATTTAATAAACAATCAAGAAAAAAATATCTATTAAGTAGGGGCCCTGGGCGGTAGCCTGGCTCGCCGTACCCCGGCCCAGAGCCGACTCTGTTGATAATATGAATGTTTGGTAAATATATTCGAAAAGCTAATGGGCTAATAAGTTAATTTATAATTCATAAAATAATTTGAAATTTATCGTTGATAGCTTATGATTGTTGAAAACTAGCTGATATAAGGATGTTATCGGATTATGTCAAACGGGGGCAATACGAGTGCGGTCCCACACAGGCGAAGCGCACCATAAGAGGGTTAGCCCAAATGAAGCCTAAGTGAGGTTCCATCCCAAAACCAATTGGTAGTAGGAGGAGTAGCCCACTAGGCTCATAAGTTAGGCATATTTACCCTATCAAATCAATGTGGGACAACTCACAAGTGACATTCCAACACGCTCCCTCACTTGTGAGTCCTTCGTCAGCCCACGCCTCCAACTAGGTCGGGTATATTTGTAACACCCCGCCTAAAACTTACTAAAATCAGAGTAAATTTGTCGCGCTATAAAAGGAAAGCACTTATTTAATTTTCGAAAACTCATATTAA